CGAGATGGGTTTGCCAGTAACTAATATTGCCCCATCCCGTGGAACCTAGCAACCAATTTCCCCTGAATTGGGTTTCAATCACAGCATAGGCTTCTTCGAATCCTACGGTGACTTCAAATAATACGGAGGACATGCACTCGGCACTCCATCGAGTGGAATCCAGAACGCGTATACCCTTGACGTCGCCTCGATCCCATGTTGCTTTAGAACCAAGCTTTTCATGAAACTGCCCACCTGCCGTGGAGGTAGATACCCCCCGTGCCGCCAGACACCACTTCCGTCATAGTTCGAGACATGCCAGGTCTAGTGGCTGACGAGCCTGACTAGACCTGGTGGGTGGGTGCGAAGAAATAACAGGAAAACGGTCCCGAGAGAGAAATTATTACTTCTATTACTCTTTGAGTCTTCTTTGGCATACCCCACCCCCTTTGTCCGACTAGCACACATCGATGAGATGTCCAAGAAGCGCCGATATACCGAGGTACATGTACTGCAAGTAGTAATTCTATGCGGCGACTTTTTAATATGGGACGGTAACATCGACCAACGGTCTTCTATCCCTGCTTCAGGTATTTCGTAGTTTACTACTTTTAGTAGTGTATGTTGTACCGTTTCGAATGATGGTGGCTTTTCTCATCCTTCTCCAAGAATGTGAAAATGTTACTCTCCAGGGGACTATGGCAGGGCGCTAGAGAAGGCTTTTCCCCTGCTCAGATGTTTAAAAGGCATGAGCCAGGCGACTCCTCTGTCGCTCGACCATGGACCTCGTTTGCAACGCGTGGCAATTGCGCAACCCCCACGACCACAGGCCCTGGAGGGTTCCGGTGGAAGCGGAGGATTTTTTGCGAATGGATGCAACTCAAGCAAACATTCAATTTAACAGTGGAGCTGGGGCGGCGTTGGCGATGTCACTCCCGCTCAACTCCCGATAGGAAGCGAACGACGGAATGTCTGTAGGCTGTGGCTAGCCGTGTGGCCCAAGGCTGTTTAATTGAAGCCTGGGGTAAAGTATAGTGATTTCCCTCCTTTCCGCTGAATCTCGCAGCGCGTACCCTCGGTGCGCTTGGCGAGACGAGAGCAAGCTCTAATTACCTTTGCCTTGAGGGGTGTAACTAATTGGATGGTCCAGAGGAGCCACCTCCTCTATGATGTGGTCTGTCCATTCGAGACGGGCCGCCTATATTTTTTTGGGGACTATTTCCTTTCTAGTCCTATTTCCGTCCTGTAGTCTTTCATATCTAGTCCCATGTCCTTCCGGTAACCGCTCCTCTACTGTGGATTTAGAAATGGATCAAAGCTGGCTGGCTGAACCGGTTTGCAACCTAGACCCCTTCCTAGGCAGTACCCCGGTCGTAGCTCGGAGGTATTACTATCTACGAAGTAGGCACCTTGGTTCTGTATTACTTCGTATATTCTTACGTGAATCCTAGAGTTCCCTCTTCCTTTTCCTGGGTCGAACCCCACTACAAGGACGAGCTGGAGCGCTATCACCCTCCTAACTAGTTCCGCCCCGAAGAACGCCACCATGCGCTCGGCCACCTTGATCTTTGGTCGTTACCGCTGAGACCCATTCTGGTGCAGAATGTATCCACCATTCTAGGCACCGGCTTATTCAAAGGACTCCAGAAAAGTCCGGACATTCGACGTCATAGGACACCGCTGCAGGTAGGGTGTAGCACTCTCAGGGAGGTGGGCTTGGCCTGGCTCGCCTTGTCAGCTGGGCTCCAGAGTGGCTGCTGAGGACCCCTTGGTCTGTCCGTGGTGTGGATGGATGGATGACCCGCTCCTGTCTCGACGAAGTAGACTCACACCGAACCGACATGGCGTTGATGATGCTCTGTCGACAGCACCTCCTGTCAAAACTGAAGGGTTTGTTTTTTTTGCGTTACGAGAATAATCCAACAACGGATCCCTCGGGACGGGCTGTGACTGAGGGCAGGAAGTTGAGAGAGCCAAAGAAGAAAAAAGGGGAAAGGGGGTGCGGAAATGACTTTTCTCCAGCCATCCATCGTGAGATAAATCTGTCATCTGAACTTTTGATTAACACCGCCTCCAAGGAATATGCCGACCGTTGGGTTCGGGCTTGAGCAATTGGGAATAACGTCGCACTCCAAAATCTGCCGGGGTTCCATTGCGAAGCAGCTGCCCACTGCCCCTATGGACAGTCGCAACGACACCCATTGAGAAGAAGGCCCGTGGAAAACATTCCGATGACACCCCCCAAAAAAATATGCCCCGACCCTACCAGCAAGGATCGTGTAAGTGGTTTGTTGCTTTGTTACCCCTCCTTCACCCATCATTGATTTCCAACTTGTCGTCGAAGCACCCTGGCAACAATCTGGCCAGGGTTCTCAGAAATGCCACTACCGTCTATCGTACGGGAAGTGATCGGCGTTGCATTAGAAGGCTTTCTTCATTTACGAAGTATTAAGTATTTCCTATCCAAGCTGAGCTATCATGTACTTCGTATAAACGATGGGGGCTCGCTTTGTCATTCTTGGCTGTTTTCGATCTCGGCTCGCGATCCTGTCCCAATCGACAACTCACCGATGGGGTGCGGCAAGATATCGACAGCTAGTGAGGGCACCTCATAACCCTCCCCCAATAGCGTTTGTATTTCGGCAGAAGGAACCGAAGACGCACGCCAGGTTGCCAATGACCTGCCTGCTTGCTTGACTATCACTGGCCCCAAGACAAAAAGTCAAATCAGGGACGGCACAGACCCTATGGATTGGAGGAGAGTCCAGGGAATGACACATTCAAGGTTGGATTGGGGGCGAGCGAAAGACCGCCCCGCGCCATTGCCCCTTGCTCCCACGAAGTAGTTCAAGTTGCCCGTCTTCAGTTTGCGCGCAAACTCGACCGCTCTTCTTTGGAGATGAAAGCGGGAAGAAGACACAGACAACTTCAAGAGGGGGGGAAGAACTTGGATCCCGCAAGACGAGAGCACACAGAGGCGGGGCGGGGCATGCTAAGAGCTTGCATATCCTCGACGCGTGGTGTGTCTGTGTGCGTTGAATCTATTGATTTTTGTGTCTCCATATCCACGAAGAACAGACACTGAACCCTTGTCCCCGATGCGCCGCCATGTGCCGGTTCGGCGATAGCTCACAAAAGCTATTTTCGAATACGCAGTCCGAACCTGAGCGCTTCTCTGCCGCATGCGTACCCACCCGCCCTCGTCATCACCTTGTTTTCATTCTTTTTTTCCTATCTCCATTTTGATCTATTCTCGATCTCGTGGATGTGTGGTCTAAAACAGGTAACAAAAAGTGTAGATCAGGCACGAAGCGGAGTCAGCACCTCTCAACTGATTCTTCCTTTCCGCCCCTTCCTCCTAAGAATCCGGGGGCGGTCATCTTAGACCGACATAGAGAAAGGAAAAGGAAACGGAAAGGGGGGAAACCGACCGGCGAATGTGATCTGGCGGGCGGACGAACCGGAAGTAACCCAAGAAAGATGCGAGCTTTGTCGAACTCGCAGCTTATTCCACTGTTACCCAAGCCTCGCTTGGCTCGTTTCTCTTCGTCAGGATTTCCAATATTCCCTTTCATCCTTTCTTCTCGAAGAAGCGGGATGGAAGGGGGTGGATTGCGACCTTGAAGGACCGAAGTCGAGAGACACACCTCTTGCGGACAGACTGCTCTTTTTCTCAACTCAACAACGCAGCTGAATGAGTTGTCAGCATCGACTAATTCATGCGTCTCATGACACCAGATGTGTCGAAGCTTCTGGGATGCTTCCATACGTCTTTTTTGTTGCTACCCTGAATGGCCTGCGCCAGAACAGCATGACGATCAGAAGTGGGCACGGAAGAGAGGAACGGGTAGGGCTCTAGGTATGGATCTGCCGGATCGTGAGATATGTGGTTTCCCGAAGGTGAGGTGTATCGTGGTCTTGGGTTAGTAGGGATGTCAACTGGCACGTTGTCCTGCCTGAGCTGCCGCCCTCTGGGAGGAGTGCCTTCTTTGCTCCCCTCTCGGCTCATCCCTGGGGTAAACTGCCGCTCTGACTGATACGGCCTCCCCCCCTTCTTTCTGGTTGAGAGATGTATGTCACACGGGAAATCTGACAGGTACGGTGGCGGGCCATGAGAGGGCAGCAGCAAGGCTGAACTATCGGACGAGAGCAACGAACCCTTTCCGGTGAATACGGTATCGGACATATCAGACCGGGGAAAAGAACCTCCGGGGTAGATTACAGTACACTGCTATTTGCGATGCTTCACTTCCTTAGCTGACTGATCTCACCTGTCTAGAAAACTTGGCACGGCATCTGGGGGAGGCTGATGCAAGAAAACAGGCACGGGGTGGACTGCGATGTGTTGGGGGGGAATGAGAACGACTCCCCTACCTGTTGGGCTTCATCCCCTCTCCTTCACAACCTCAGTGAGATCCACGCATTCCGAGTGGTTCGGACTCGGTCAGGCCGATTTGTGGGAGGACAGAAGGGGGCGCAATGCAGGACTGCAACCATGAAATCTGGGTTCGCGTAAGCCCCAAGCGGGTGATGTTCGCCAATGTCGCGGTTCCTTTTCCATCTGCAGGTCTTTCTAACACATGACGAATCCTTCTACAAATGCTTCTAGAAGATGCCTGCATAAGCCGAGTGGGATGAAAAGTCCGGGAGTCGAGATCCCACCGAGATTCTAGGGTCAGTGTCGGTTTGACCAAAAAAGAAACGAAAAAACACCAGGGCCCAAGGTTCCACTGCGGCGCTGGGACCTAACAACGAAAGTAAACGGGAAAAAGTGGCCTTGAGTTATTGTAATTGTACAATTGTGATCTATATGATCCTCCTACACGTCTCCAGATCCAACAGGCCGATCCTTTGAAAATCCGCCTCCGGTTCGGAGATTAAACGAATACTCCGTGCCCGAACCAACTGGGGGGACCGGGGGGCTCAGTGGCGTTCAAGTCCTCATCGGCATAAACCAAGTAATATCATTCCATTGCGTGGGATCAAAAGGAAAATCCCAAATCAATGGGCGTCGCTCAGCCTCAGGACGTCTTACCCAGACGATCCAATCCGGCCTGCGCCTGTTTAACTCCTTCAGGGAATTCCAATTCCTTGCTCATCCTAATGCACTGCTCGTAGTTGCGGCGCGCCTCGGCGGGCTTCCCCGACATAGCAAAGATGTCACCGAGGTTGCACAGGGCGACGGCGCACGCCTCGTCGCACTCGCTGGTCCGGGCGTCACCCTTGACGTCTACGGCGTGGGTGTAGGCGTTGGTGGCCCAGTTGAGGGCGGATTGGAGGAGGTATTCTCTACTGGGCGGCTGTTGTGATGATGGGTCGGCTTGCGACGAGTCTGTGGGAGGTGCGGGGACGATGAGGGGAAGGAAAGGTGTATGTTGGGCGAAGGCTGCGGATAAGTTGTTCACTGTGTAGGAAGGGTTCTCTTGTCAGTTTCGAGTTGATAGAGGGAGGGGGAACGTATTCAAGGGCGTTGAGGTAGACGTACTGAGAACGGGTCTATGACATGGATCCTCGCATAATCGGAGGGCATGGAAGAGCAACGGGATAGCCAGCTGGAACTGAGATTTCTTCTCGTAATTCCGGGCGAGAGCTGTTTAAGACGTAGTTAGCATGGAACCAACTGAGAAGAGACGTGAGAAGGGGGCCGGAGAGTATCTGCTCACATTCGAGAGCACCACCAATCTCGGTTGGGCTCATCCAGGGACCTTCATCCTCCTTCTCTCCCTCGTCATGTCGCCTCTTGAACTCCCTAAGAGCAGTCTCCACAGCCCAGGTGAGACGGGACTGAGACTCCTCCGACTGCAGAACGTGCTCATCGGCGTTCAGCTCGCCCAGCTTCACACTGGTTCCGACACACTTTGCGAGGAGCCTATTTCGTTTCCTCCACAAATTCTCGGGGAGGTATTCGACCTCAGCTTCTTCGGTAGGAGCATCTCCGGTAGGGGGAGTGCTCTGTTGATCCTCGGCAGGTGGCTTAGGAATAGGGACCTTGCCAGACTTGGGAAGAGAGCCATCCGCCACGCCCTTCTCCATCCAATCCACCCATCGCAGACAGTCCTGGACGATGCCGCCCAGAACCATGATGGCGCCGCTATAATTCCCAATGCCTTCCAGCCACGCTGCGGTTTGTATCCTGATGCCGAGAACATCGTCCGAGAAGGGGTCGAGTCGAAGCTCATTGCACTGCTCGAGGGCGCGCTTGTAGTACTTTTGCGCTAGCTTGGGATCGGGCTTGATGTTGGTGTAGTAGAGGGCGCGGCGGAGCGACTTTGCGATGGGGTCGGGGAACTTTGTGAACTGCGGCGCGTTGAAGTAGTTGAAGTAGAGGTATACCGTGTAGAGGACGATACCTGATACTCCACCGAGTCTATATATCAAGGCTGTTTGTTAGTGCTTCGCGAATTTTCATGGATTGTGGAACATTAGCCTGTCGGAGAAGATATTCCCCAGACGTCAACATACGTTAGAATGGCCAATATGAGTTCGCCGGGGTTTTGGCGAGCCGCGTTCCGAAAGCCGCCCTTGTTAAACATGGAGAACAGGCCAGAGAAGTCGAACGCCTTGCGAAGGATGGCGCCGATTGATGGGGGAGGGGGCTGTCTAAAGATCGGCCGCGATTTCCCGGGGCCTTGTTCGGTCGATTGGTATCGTACGAAGGCCTGGAGCCGGAGACCGTCATGTATCGGTGTGCATCGGCCTTGAGGGCATATTTGCAGTTGTCGGGTTCGGAGCGCTGGGAGAGCTCCGAGAGATGGAAACGAAGCTTGACAGGTCGTGCTGCCGCGGAGGACTCGGACGGTGTGTAACTGTCGCGCCGCCATGGCTCCGGGTAGGCGGGTATAGGGCCGCAGAGGCAGAGATTGTATTAGAGGATTAGCGACGAGGGGATCCTGTTACGGACATTTCGCATGCCGCAGGTCGGGATCGCAACTAAGGACTCACTCGATTCTCCCGCTGGATTGCTTGACAGGCGATGATGTCCCGAATATTCTTTCATCGCCTGACGCTATTTGTCAAGTGTTGCCAGCTGTTGTTAAACCGCCCGTGTCTGGCTCTCTGGAACAGGTGCGAACAGACGGAAACGGAGCTTCGGAGCTGTCAAATCGCTAAAGACTTGAAGTCTAGAAATCTTCAAACCACTTGATTACTTTGTACTTCGGAACCCACGGGAGGCCGTGTTATTGCCTCTATTATACCGTGATGGTTCATAGTTCGAACATTCCATGAGCAGATCCTACACCGGTGAATTGAATAGCTAGTCGTCTGTTGGAATGACGTTTCTAGAGATAGAAGCAAGATCGATGTAGTCCATTCTTGTAATAATTTCCAATAAGATTAATACCCAGATGCAACACTGAACTCACCGGACTGCCCCATCACACACCACGCTATGAAGTACAGGTTAGAACGGAGCCTGAGGATCCCTTTCGTACACCACAAAGCTTCGAAGTATGTAGTTTCATGTACACCTCGATCTTGAACCGAGGCAGGTTTTCGGTGCCCCAGATTCCCCGCTTCGGAGTTTCGTAGTCTGGGGTACGCTAGGGCGCTTTACAGACCACCGGATCAACTAGTCGTGGGCTACCGTAGCATCACCACCTCCACGCTCCGCACCCGCCGCGCCGGCTATGCACCTCAAGCTCAGAGTGGCTGATGACAAGCAGGCTACTGGTCTGTTTCCGTTGAAGCTATCCGATCTCGACCGGGGGGATTAACTTACCCCTCAGTACCCTGGTATGGTGCGTCGATACGTGAGCTGCGGACGAAGGAGTTGACGAGAGCATTGGAACTTCGGGCCAACTTAATATTAATATCTTCTATTCCTGTTCCTCCCACTGCCTATAAGAGGTCAGGGTCCAGCTTATTCTCAATCTGAGCTGACGCATTTCGTCCTCGTCACACGTTGATCGCAAGTTGGAGATACGCAATTGCTGCAGCAGTTTTCTTGTCGATTGGCCAATCGAGCGAGTTATCCGTCCATCTCCTTTTTCGCTTATTGCGTCTCCAACACGGCTGGACTTCAGCTCTTCGTCAAAGGCGTTGGGACGCCGCTGTCCTCACCACAACCCCGACTTCTTTGCAGGACGTGTCCCATTATTATAATAGGCGCATTCTTTCCTCAACCAGCGCTCACCTCGGATCCTAAAGATTAGTCGACCGAGCTACACAAGAAGCAGCGCCAGATCTAGCGCCAGCGGCCACATCCAAATCTCAAGACGCATTCCCACCGCCAAGCGCTCCAAGCAGTGAGAGACCCGGGACGGCTTACGAGGCCGCCTCGTTCTGGGTGAGCAAAAAAGAAGTAGAAATAGGCCAGCCAGATAGGTCTTTCGCTTGTCACAAGTTGCTGGACTGCGCTGTCATAACCCAATATAAAATTCCGCATCAAAGACAAGAAGTCTGAAGAGACTCAACATCATTCGGAGTTAGGTCAGGTCCAATCTCAACAGCAGTCGCCCTTACAGTTTGTATCGATATTCCACCTTCACAATGCCTATCCACTCGCGCTGGGCAGTGCCCGTCCCCGAGTGCTCAATCCAAAAATGGATTTTCGGCTCATCGTTTGAGCCGCTGTCGAATCACAAAGCCTTTATGGATGCCGACAATCCCGAGGCCAAGTACCTGACCTTTTCGGATTACCGGCTCGTGTCGAAGCAGATCGCCGTTGGGCTGCAGGCGGCCGGCTTGCAGGTAGGCGACCGGGTCTTGATCTTTTCGGGCAACAATGTATACTTCCCCGTTGTCTTCCTCGGTGTCCTTATGGCTGGAGGCATCGTGACTGGTGCGAACCCTGGCTTCAAGCCGAGGGAGTTGGCCCATCAGCTCCGGGACAGCGGCGCCTCCTTCGTGCTCGCCGCGGCGAATAGTCTGCCGACGGCGATTGAGGCCGCGCGGGAGGTGAACATACCGACGCGGAACGTGTTCGCTTTCGACACCACCGTGCCTGGTTCTTCTTCGGTAGAGATTCCACCAAGCCTGGGAGCGAGACACTGGACTGAGCTCCTTGCGCCAAGGCCACAGGCGGAAGCTTTCGACTGGGTCGAGCCCGCGGATCCTCGCAACACCACCTGCTGTCTCAACTATAGCTCGGGAACCACCGGTCTACCGAAGGGCGTCGAGATTTCCCATCACAGCTATGTTGCTAACGGCACCGGCGTCATCACACTTTCTCAGCAGAGGGAAGATTATGAGGCGTTTATTAAGCGTTCTGTCGGCCTTTGTTTCTTGCCGCTGTATCATGCATATGGACAAACGTACTTTGTTGCCAACCTGGCTAGGCAAGGTATCCCGGTATACATCATGCCGTCATTCGACTTCGCGAAGATGCTCTCGCACCTTGCAAAGTATAGAGTGAATCACCTCCTTGCCGTGCCCCCTATCCTCGTCCTTCTCGCGAAGCATCCCCTCACACGAAAGGCCGATCTGAGTAGCCTGGAAGTAGTTGCGAGCGGTGCTGCGCCACTGGCCCTGGAAATTGCCCAGGAGACGCAGACCCTCCTTCGCGAAAATGTCTACGTACGCCAGGGATGGGGCATGACGGAAGTAACCTGCACCTGTCTAGCTTGGGCGGGCTCGGACAACATGGGCACCACAGGTGCCGTCGGCGAATTGATGCCCAACTGCCGGGCCAAGTTGATGAGCCTCGACGGGAAGACGGAGATTACCACGCCCGAGACCCGCGGCGAGCTCTGGGTGACGGGACCTACGCTGATGCGCGGATACTGGAATAACCCCAAGGCGACCAGTGACTCTACGTCCGTTGATGCCGACGGCACGAGGTGGCTCAAGACGGGTGATGTCGCCTACGTCGAGTCGTACAAGGCTGGAACACTCTTCCACGTTGTGGATCGCTTGAAGGAGCTGATCAAGGTCAAGGGACGACAAGTTGCGCCTGCCGAGCTCGAGGCCTTATTGCTCGAGCGCCCTGATGTTGCCGACGTGGCTGTGATAGGCGTCGACATCGATGGCGAGGAGAGGCCAAGGGCGTATATCGTCAGGAGGGAAGGGACGAATCCTTCTGGAAAAGAGATTGCGGCTTGGGTTGAGAGCCGTGTTGCGGGATACAAGCGGCTCACGGGTGGTGTTGTCTTTGTTGATATGATTCCGAAGAACCCGGTAAGTAACAATGCTTCCTTGAGGGCTGAGACCGTTACTACTGTGGGCACGGCTAACTGATAACCGATTGTAGTCTGGCAAGATTCTTAGAAAGATCTTGCGAGACCAAGCCAAGATGGAATCCCAGAAGTCGAAGCTCTAATGATAGGAGATATCAAGTACATATCAGTCGATGCGTTGCGACTCTGGGCAGGATATCTCTGTAAATACGTCTTCACATACGAAGTACAAACGGTAAACATCAATTTAGGACCCCAAGGATCCGTTTCCAGAATCACGAAACCACCATTTTCTTTCGACCTGATATATCCATGTAGGCTTGGGGGAATTTATCAGGCTTGAAATATGTCGGGTTTTATCCTAAGTATCGAAGGGTTGCTTGGGAAGACAATGCCCTAGGAACATCCGCCCTCGAGAACGTCGATGCTTGGATGCGGGTCTGTAGATGCTCCTCGGATTGAGAAGACGAAATTGATTGACAGTGGCTTAGTTAGCTTCAGAAAGACTACAATAGAGATCGGACTGCTGCTCTGTCCAAGATGATCAAGGAGTGTGATTGATCTTGACAAAGTAATCAAGGTCCTCTCTGGAGGTACCTATACCTGGATGACTTCGTTAGCTGTGGTGCAATTTACTGTTTACAATACCTGGGCTGTACTTTGTGAGTGGGCGTGGGCGCTGTGACGCGGCTTCATTCGTCCACTACCAATTTAGGACACCCCCTGAACTTTGAAGGCTGAGGGAGGCACTGCACTGTGCTGTTAAACTTTGTCCTTAGTACTTCGTACTTCCTCCTCAGAATGTGGCTGTGGCATGAATGCAAAGTACTTTGTACCTTCACCTGCACCTGAACCGCCACCATTACGAAGTGCATCGCATTCAATCCTCGTGTTCGCATCACCACCATCCTCAAAACACACACTCCTCCCCAACCCGTCCTTTCTTCGAGAGCCTTAAATATCCCCGACAGCATCCCGTCGTCGACGTCGGAATCCATCACTCTATCGAAACGGCCCCGATCTCTGACGACTTCCGATTCCAGAATGTCCGAAACACCACCAGGGGCCGGCCCAGCCGACTCGATCAGCGAAGACCTCGCTGGCAAGCAGCCCGAGAAGAAGAAGAGCAGGAGACCGGCGAGTGAGTCTTTCCGAGTTTAACCATGCGGCCATTACAGCAGATTCAGTTTTCCGAATCTATGCTGCCGTGGAATGGATTGGCTTCAGCATCGAGCAGCCCAGCATCGCTCCAAGAATGCCTTGCTGGCGGAAATTATTTGAAAGAGTCGAAGGAGAGGCTGACGATGCATCTTCCTACTATTAGATACCGCCTTTCGACAGCAGCGATTGAAGGCATGGCAGTAAGTCGATACTTCTCTTGTTTTTGCTGAACATACGGCCCGATGCACCCGGTGGAAGAACTCAAATTCACTGACATCGCGACCCCAGACCCATCCTCACGCCCAAGACCGTCCTTCCTCTCTTCTTTACAATCGGCATAATATTCGCTCCCATCGGCGGCCTGCTTCTCTACGCCAGCGCGCAGGTATGGTGAAATACCCGAAACCTCGGGTTTCTTTATTCCCTGTCGTTCCGACATATCCTAACATGTAATCGATCCATATATAGGTCCAAGAGATCCAGATTGACTACACAAACTGCCGCGATGACGCTCCTGCAGTCACCAGCATCACAGACCCAGGATCTGCGATGCCAACCGATCTGATAACGACTGCCTTCAAGGCCCAGAACGCCAACGCCAACGCCATGTGGTCCAAGATTGAGAACGTCACCGTCGACTACGGACGCGGTCTGCCTGTCAACGTCACCCAGTGCATCCTCCAATTCTCCATCCCCGAAGACATGGGCCCGCCCGTCCTCTTCTTCTACCGTCTTACCGATTTCCACCAGAACCACCGTCGATACGTCGCCTCGTTCAACCAGAAGCAGCTCAAGGGCGATGCGGTCGGCAAGGGCGAGATTGACGGGTCTAGCTGCGATCCCCTGCGAAGCGACAACGTGACCGGCTTACCCTACTACCCCTGTGGACTCATTGCCAACTCCATCTTCAACGACACCTTCGATTCTCCCGAACTTCTCGGCGGTTCCGAGCCCATCCGCTACGAAATGGCTAACAACACTGGTATCGCTTGGGATTCCGATAAGGAGCTCTATGGCCAGACCAAGTACAAGCCCAACGAAGTCTCGCCCCCTCCTAACTGGCGCCGTCTATATCCTAACTACACCGAGGAACTCCCCCCGCCCAACCTGGCTGAATGGGAGGGTTTCATGGTGTGGATGAGGACTGCTGGTCTCCCCGCTTTCAGCAAGCTCTACCAGCGCAATGATACCACCGCTCTGGCCCAGGGTACCTACAGGGTTGTCATCAACGATGGTATGTGGTGATTTACACCTCTCGTACCTCCACCTTCGTGATGGGGTAAGAAGCGAACGTGAAATTAACATTACACTCTCTGTCTTATAGAATTCCCCACACGAGCTTACAAGGGCACCAAGTCGATGGTCATTTCTACCCGTACTGTTATGGGAGGTCGAAATCCTTTCCTAGGCATCGCCTACGTCGTTGTCGGTGGCATGTGTATTCTTCTCGGTACCATCTTTACCATTACGCATCTCATCAAGCCAAGGTATGTCTCTCATCCCGTAGTTGTGATTTCTCCCAACCCAAAACCAAAACCACGAGAACAGAGAGGAAGAAGAGTGGGAAAACAAAGGAGAATGCTGACAATCCTGCAGGAAACTTGGCGACCATACCTACCTCTCCTGGAACAATGCCCCAAGCGCAGGCAAGGCCGCCGGCCCATCAACCGCTGTCGCCTCTGGCCGAGATCTTGGTCGGGCTGACGCCTAGGCGGCCGATCCCCGATTGTGGTTCGCGATGAGAGCCCGCTATGTCGCGGATGCTCTCGACGATCGTTTGCTCGCGAGGACGTACAACTGAACTTGCAAAATTCTGTCAGTTGTCGCGAGCGCGTTATTTGCATTGTACGAATATATAAATGCGTCGATGGCGAGTTAAGTCTTGACTGCACGTTGCTATCGACATTACTCTGCTACTGAGGGAGGGAGGGAGCTCGTCATGGTTTTCTTTTTCGGTCCATTTACTTTTTCTCGTTCGGGCACATGATTCCCTTGCGTTGAACTATATTTCGATGCCTGCACTATCCTCACCATGAGGAGAAAAAAAAAAGATCGGGTTTGTCGTTCACCGCGTGGCAGTTTGGCATCTCATCCTTTCCATTCCATGGAATGGACGGCACACTCAGATCGACTTTACGACTCTTCGTTTTTCTTTTACCTTGTTTCCTCGTTCATGCTTGTTAGTTGGGATGGAGTTTGGGTCGCGTAACATAGTATTTCGTCGGAAATAGAATATCATGGTTTTACAAAAACGAAGAAAAAACAAGCGTATCACATTGGCAAGGTTTGGCGAAGCTCACGCTTACTCCATGAAATTAATGAATTCTTTCGACAAACTCTTCGATTCGATACTAGGATGAGAGAAACAGACTCCGCCAACTCCATTTGACTTTGTTCGTAGCTTACACACGAAGAGAAAGTCCCTATAAGGGGCGGTAAACGGAGGACCCCTGGAACGAAAAAAGAAAAGGGGTTCTCCGCAACAAAGTGGGATATGGAAGGACAGGAAACATGAAAAAACTTGCCCTATCCGGAAAAAACTGAGATGATAGGAAAGCGAAAACAAAGGAAACCCTGGTCCCAATTCCGATTATTTTGCTGAACAGAGAAAAAGAAGAATGAGAGTACAGACAGACAAAATGAAAAACCACCAAAAGGTCGAAAAGCCATCCGGCAGTCTCAACGGCGGTCTCAATGATACACGAGGGGCCTGTGGGGCCTCAGGACACGAAAGTGCGGCGAATGAGCTTTGCCATAGCAAGGGGATTAATGCTTTCGCTTCTTTCGGCCCCTATCCTCGTCATCGAGGCCGCTGTCACGGTCTCGCTTGCGAGCCTTCTTCTCAAGTTCGTCCCAGTCTTCACCCTCATCTTCACTAACATCATCATCGTCTTCATCCTCTTCGTCGGAGACGTTAGAACCGTAATCCGAGTCCTCCTCGCTAGACTCAGAGGCGGCATCAAGTTCGTCTTCGTCAATCTCAAAGGCGCTCTCCTCCTCCTCCTCATCGGATCCACCCTCTTCATCCGACTCTTGTTGAAGGAAGGACCAGCCACCATCTTGGAAGAACTGGTAGGGATCCGCGGTAACCGTCTTCATAATGGTAGGCCAGCTGAGATTCAGGGGACCTTCGCTGTATAGAATATCTGAGTTGTCGAGCCAGTCTTTCACGTCCTCGATCTGTTCAACCGGGATCGTGTTGATGTGGTAAGGAGCCCGACTGTAGTCCTTGAAAACAAAGACCAAGTCAAAGTTCTTCAAACCAAACTGGACACGCTCCAGATGGGCAATCTCAATATCTTCAAGGGTGAGAACCATAAACGGAGGCTCGATGACCTGGATAAGACAGTCCGTGGTCGGCTGGATGAAGACGTTGCTTCGGAAGGGTACACCGTGGAAACCGAGTTCTCGGATCGGCATGTCCACTTCAATACCTTCATTCTTACCAGCCTCAGCAATCTTTTGGGCGAATCCGTGGAACAATCGGTCAAGGTCCCCCCTACGGCGCCTTTCCTCTTGCTCCTGTTCGAATTCGTCCTCATCGCCATATCGGTATTTCCTCCGGCGATTGCCCGTCTCGTCAAATTGGATGTCCGTTGCCTCGCGATAGAACTGGACATCCTTGGTCTTCTTCTTGTTACCAACAATGATGGGGTCTTTGAGATGAATGTGAATCACAACGATAAGTTCGTGTTCGCAAGGCTGGAAGAAAAGATGGCGGACGTTGGAGAAGAGTACATCGACACGCTGCTGGGTGCTGAGCGGAGATTGGTATCGGATACCGTTCTGATGGATTTCCAACTTTCCAGGGACGCGCTTTCCTTCCATCGCGGGCCGAATGAAGACGTTATCAAGGACAGGAGGGCGACGATCTAGGCAGGTCAAGTTAGCAAGCCGTGGTAAAAGGAGGAGAGAGAGGGGGTTGTGTTGTGTGGTGTTTTTTTTGGGGGGGGGGGTTAGTATAAGTGTCCAGGAAGTTAGGGTAATACTCACTTCTAATCTCGATGAGCTTGTCTTGCTCGACAACGTCCTCCATGTCCTTCTTCTCTTGCTCCTTTTTAACGGCGTCACGCTTCATATTCGAGATTTGGTTCGCGATATCCGTGTATCGATCCTTGTCCTCCGAACGGAAGGTCAAACTCCGGACGAAGTGGGCCGTTGCGTCCTCAAACGGCTGATCATCTTTCCTGCCCACACCCTGTCCAGGCGAAAGAAAGTTGATGCGGAGGAAGACCCAGTCACCTTCATCGTTGACACTGGCGTTCTTGATCGTGTTGATATGGAACGGAACCGGGCGACCCATAACGGGTACAATGACGGTGTTGCTCTTAGAGTCGACCACGATCTTGAGATCGCGAACCTTGGGAGGAAGCTGGTTATCTCGCTTGTATGATTCGAACTTTTTGAACTTCTTGACTTCCACACCGTTTTGGCCACCGGTAGACTCTGTGTATCGTCCAAGGCCTTCCTTTTGCTTCTTAGCAGCCAATTCTTGCTGATGCTTTCGTCGCTTAGCCTCGGCGTCCTCATCGACTTGTGTCGTCCGCTCCGACCTCAGCCTCGTCTGGGTGATGTTCTTCGTGGCGACTGCGCCAACGCGATGATCCTTCTTCTCCTTCTTGGGAGTGGGCTGAGTTTCCTCCTCATCCTTGAAGAAGAAAGAGTTCGAGTTGGCCTCGATGGGAGCTTCCTGGGTAAAGACAACGGGCTCGGTCGTGGTGACGCGGATCGTGTCCATGATCATCAAAGAATAGATCTTGCTATTCTTGTCCTGCGGGTTGGGGTTCTCGATGTCGGAAAAGCCAGTTGTGATACAGAGGGTCATACCATCCTTAAGGGTCCTGCTGTTCTTGGCATTCAAGATCATGGTCGTGTCTTTGGTCTCCAGTCCAATGCCCCAACCCACGTTCCTCAGGAAATGCTTCTCCATATCGGGCTTTTTGGCTCGAATCAGGCTGAGAGCCTTGGCGTAGACGTCCTTTGCAACAACGCCGTCTCGGATTTCCTTGAGAACAGCATTGTGAACGTTGCACAAGAGCTTGTAGTTGCCCTCTTGCGACTTGTTGGGGTCGATCAAATAAGTACGTGCGATGGCCGAGCTATACGACTTGTATCGAAGGCCCATAGCCGCGATAATCGTTCCGGGATGCAGGATATCGTCGTTCGCCTCTGAGGAGAGCCTGAGATCGTACTTACCACCACTCTGGACGATAGGGCCAGTAACCCAGTCCAACTGCGAAGGGTCAAGATCGGAGGGGAGCTTGGACTTGTTGGGAAGCTGCACAGTCTTCCAAAACTTGTCGTCGTCCAGCTTCTTGTCCACCTTGTCGGCAAGCGCACTGTGCTTAACCTTCTTCTCCTGATCCAGAATATTGGACATCTCCTCCAAGAAGTATGGGGTCATCAGGGCCACGCAGGCCTTGGACGACGTTCGCATCGCGCGGAGCTCGGTCTCATCCTTGACGGAGAAGGCGGCGACGGAAAGCGTTTGCGAAATATCGACCTCGGTGACATCCTTGCATTGGTCGGCGAAGACCTTCTTCCATTCGTCGACGAAGGGTCCGCGGGAGAAGTCTTTGGCGAGCGTTCCTACTTTGTTCTAAAAGGGCATCGTTAGCGCCTTCATCAATTTACTTTGCAATCCACGTGGCAACTCTGATCGAATACATACGCCTGAAGCTTTGATCTTGTCGGCGATCTTGACGAAAATCTTCTCGTTCTCGGCTGCGTCCTTACCGCGAATTAGGATCTCGATCGGGAACCGGCCGCCCTTCAACTGGTCGAGATGCTTGGCTATAATCGCATTAGCCCCAGAGCTTCGCAAAGACTTGCTGGGATAGATGGAGTATAGTCGCGCTTACCTTTCTTGGCTGTCGTGACAATGTAGAGGCAGTCCATCGTGAAAAGCATCAACGTTGCGGGGAACTCGTATCCCAGCAACCAGAACTAGCAAGCTTGTCAGCCAAAACACAAAGGGGCAAAGAGAAAAAAAAAAGGATTCAGAGAGAAACTGGAATGTAATAAAGGGCAAGAAGCAGGAATTCTGCGATGGATTTGGAGAACCTACATGCATGGCGTTATTCTTGTGGAAGTCTTGACTATCCTCTGCTTTGCCCATGAGGATGATGATAGAGGAAGCTCCATTAAAGAGGCCTTCTTTAGAGCGAGCATCATTCTTCCAAGAACTCACAAAATGTGAGATTCGCTCTTGGAAGAGCTGGCTATCAATCTTGATCTCCGCCATGATTGATCGATGGTCAACTGTGACGAAGGTAGATGGATTGGCCCAGAATGGGGAGAAAAGAAAGGTCCAGGATGGTCAAGGCAGATGTCGCCTCGAGTTCCAGTTTAGGTGACGCGAAAATTTACGGCAGGACAAAGCTCAAGCATTGCCGGCGCGTTAAGTACGTCAGTCACGTGACAATGGCCTGGTCATGACGCGGGGCCTGTAGCTCCACTCTGACTCTGCCTGCAGGAGCTCCTGGCTAGTCTGGCTCTGGCCCATCACAAGCTTAGGAGCCTAGGTCCCCGGCATCTGCCATCAAAATCGACGCTGAGGGGAGCGGGGGAGGGACCCATTGGAATGGTTTGCGACAGTGTCGACTCGAATATATTTGGAGCGCGCGGCGGTGTAATACTTAACTTACTTCCTTCGTAGAACGGATATAAACTTGATCGCTCACGTCTCTCTTTTTCAATCTCCCATCAATTTCTCTCAACCTCCCTTTGAAATTCGCCTTCTCCACCCGCAATTACTATAGGCTCGTCCAAAATGAGCGGCAAGTTTGAACCGAAGGAGCCAGTCCAGCTCAACCCGCCGAACTACACACCCATCTCAGTCGAGGAGCTTGGAAAGCACAACGGTAAGAGCAGCCATGAAGATTTTCTTTCCGGTCATCTTTGCATGAGAGTCAAGCGCATGTTTATTCCAAATAAACTCGAGCGCTCTTGATACAAACATCCAAACCCTCCCATGGGAACCATCTTTCGATCCTCTTAACTCTTGGCGCATCCTCGTGGCGGAAAAAAAGAAAGCGAGTACAGACAACGCTAACCAAACAAACGCCGAACAGGCACTAATGGACAGCCCTGCTATGTGGCTATCAAGGGCATAGTGTTTGATGTCTCTGGCAAGGAAGCGTATCAGCCCGGCGGCAGCTACTCAGGTTTGCCTACCCTTACCTTGCCACTGCTTTGCTTCACTATTCGCCAAGCATGTGAGCTAACGTCTTGTAGCCTTCTCCGGAAAGGATGCCTCGAGGGCATTGGGCCTGATGTCAACGAAGACCGAGGATGTTCGACCGGACTGGTTTGACTTGGATGACAAGGAGAAGAAGACCCTTGATGACTGGTACACCTTCTTTTCCAAGAGGTACAACATCGTCGGAACCGTCGAGGGTGCTACAAACAAGGATCCAAGCAGCTCTCTGTAGGATAGGCTGGATGGTCAGGTGCGCTCCTAATAGATGGACAGAGGAGGATTACACTAAAACTCAATAAAGCAAAGAATAAAAAGAAAAGGATCAACTGTATAAGATCTTCTACGCAAACCTAACTATTCTCAGACTTCACCCTACAAGGAGAGATTTATTTTATTCACTATTGCGCTTGAAACCTACCACTCAGGAATGGCAAAAAATGAGTATCAAATTGCGTCAGTTGTGTTTGGCAAAATTCGGAGAAAAATGCAAAAAGAAGAACGAGTGATTCGACCCAGGCTCGAACTGGGGACCTCTTGTGTCCAGCATCCATAGGAATGTTAGACAAGCGTGATAACCAACTACACCATCGAACCGTTAGGTATCCTATGTACTATTGTTCCCTATATAGCCTATGCCCTCGAACCCCACCGTAACTAACCCCACTACCCCACCACGATTCCGGTCCAATGTCTCGTCTAACATCGAAACATTATCAATTGATGGATCCGTTCAGTGCCACTGAAGAATTATGGGAGAAGAAGCTGGTAATCTTAAGATAAAATTGGGGTGGAAAGGATACAATGAAGTAGAATCCAAAATACCTATTTCGTAAATAGGCCGACACTTGGCGAAATTCGGCTTAAGCAATGTCCTTCCTCCTTCGTCAACCCCACCACCCCCCAGCTGCCGATGCCGAACCCGTCCTCCGTCCATGTCAAGTTAGCCACTAAGACCCTAACTACCCCCAATCTCCTCACACCTCAATCCTACGTCGTACACTTGTAAATGTCCCCTTCAAATCTTCAACAAAAATTGCATAGACCTCTCAAGCAAATACACTCTCCTCATATCTATCGAGCCCTCACAACATCACAAACCCTCAAAATGCGCCTCCCCTACGTCCCCGACCCACCCCCCACTACTACCGAGCAAGACGCCGCCATCGTCTCCCGCATCCGGGCCCGCCGCGCCCCGCGCCCTCTCCAAGCACTCGACCTCACCCTCCTGCACTCCCCTCCCGTCGCCGACGGCTGGAACTCCTTCCTCGGCGCCGTCCGCACCCGCACCTCTATCGCCGACGACATCAAGGAGCTCGCCATCTCGCGCGTCGCCGTGTGCAACCGCGCCTGGTATGAGTGGGGTCACCACGCTCCCCTCGCCGTCAAGGCCGGTGTGAGCGAGGCGGTTATGGAGGTGGCTAAGAGGCAGGAGCCGCTGAGCAGGGAGGAGAGGCCTGAGGGCGTGAGTGATAAGGAGTGGGCTGTTCTTGTGTATACGGATGAGATGACGAGGAAGGTTGAGGTGGCGGATGAGACGTTTGCTCTTGTCAGGGGGCTGTTTAATGACCAGGAAGTGGTAGAGATTACGGCTACCGTAGGTGCTATTCCTTTTCCTTTGCAGATGATTCTTATTTGGCTTCGCGTGCTGAGACTGATTCCACCTAGATCGCTTGCTACAACTGCGTAAGCCGATTCTTGGTAGCATTAGATGGTAAGTGAAACAAAGACAATCCCGATAGCAGGATTATATTCCAACGCTAACTACTCTGCTCTCCCTCGTCATAGTCGGAGAGAGGAACGGTCTTGGTCCGGATGCGGTTGCCCATTAATTATTGGCCCAATCCTGTCGTGAAAAGAATGCCGCGCAATGATGGGGTATGTAACCATAACGAAATAAGAAAAGAGAAAGGAAACACGAAGAGGGAACATGAATGTATGCAATGAAATGCAATGAAATGCAATTGCCATCATAACCGTGGCGGGACTCCTCCTCATGGGCGCCTCATCCCCAAACAATAAATTGACAACCTTAACAACGCCCGCCAATGCTCATAAGCATGTACATCGTAGAAAATTAATGGGTGAGAAGAGTCCATATGGGTGGGAAAGTTCGCCTGTGCAAGGGTATCGAATCCGGTCTATGAGTGCTGTTCATTAACTCATCGTGTATCGGAATAATTCCAGGGCTCGCTTATAAACGCTTGTAACGCCAGCCCAAGTCTTCGTAGAGGGTGGAAAAGATGCTGCTCATTGCTCATAAAAATATATATATATGCCCCCCTTCAAACGCCGAATAAAGAAATTGGTTATTGCTGAGAGAGTGCGCAGACCACGCGCTGCGTTCAACGCGTCTCACTCTCAGTCTTAGTATCCACTCATGTTCTCATGTTGCGTCTGCCTTCGGAGTGTCGCTCGTCGGTGCAATCCTTTGTAGTCGGACAGTAGATGGTGATGTCGAGGATGGGGATGGCGTCCCAGACATGGCCGTTTCTATTGAAGCGTGCCGTTGCTGCAATTTGGGTGATTTCTGCAGCTCCTGAACTACACCAAACCAGTTTTGCTTATGGACGCCAGCGGTATCATTATTATGACTGATGGCCTGCGTGGTGAGTCTTCGCAGTAGTGGCTGCTTGGTGATGCCCTCCGTGAGAGCTTTCGCGAGTGCCCGACGCGGAGAACCATTTTCATCGGTGCCATGCAAGACCACGGACTTCTCAGGGTCCTTTGGCGGCGAGGCTACGGTCTTCGCTGACATAGTTGTAATGACACCCATGTACAAGACCAGGAAGCGCATCCGCAACTGATCGAGCCGTCGAACGCGGTCCTCTAGTGTTTTCTTTTTCGAGGCCCACAACAACCTCGAGCTGGTACGCAAAACTGGCGTGCCATTGCTGTCAAAGTCGTCCTCCAAAAGCCGGTTAAGGTCCTCCCTTAAGTCATCGCCGCTCCTCTGGATTTCGCGTAACAGCCGGCTCAGCCGTATCTTGTCTTCAAGAACTACCACCTTTCCCACGGCTAGGTCGTAGCTCTCATTTTCGAGTATGGAGTTTTCGATGGTGTCAAAGAAGGCATTAACTTCTTGCGGTGCTGCTAGGTACGCCGATGTGTATGTCGTGAGAATCTGGCCGAGGACGACGATGCTGAGGCAGAGGGCGGTGAGGACGAGGACGATTGTCCAGTCCCGCACGGCGATCTCGGACATGGGTGGCTGGGATTCTGGTGGTTGAGAATTAGAGGAGGGGCAGTTGAATGGGAACGGCGGGTCCGGCGGTGTGAGAGCGTTCGGTTCTTCGTATCGTCATATATGCGCCAGGAATGTCAAAGGATATCGATGATGGAATTCCAACAATAATGGGATCGGGAGGAATGCGAAAGGCACATGATTCTTTCAAACGAAGATTTAAAAATAAAACGATGAAGGAAGAAGAATGCAGGTTCTCAACGAAGCGAGGTGAGGAGGCGACAAGGGGGTCCTTTTTGGTCCGGCCCACCGCCAGCTGCATGAATTGTCGGTCCTATCACTCCATCGTAGCAGTCTCTTCTTTCCTTCGTTTGCAAAAGTAGCCGCCACGATATGCAAGTTGCAGTTGCGCTTGACCTGGATACCCTAACCACCCCTGCATCTGCATGACCGAAATAGTGCAGTGTACGAAGTAGTGTGCGAGAAGCGGGAGACAAGTGGCGAGTGGCGGGCGGCGACAGAATCAATCTCAGTCAGGCAGGTGGCCCAGCTCAACAGGCCGGAACAAACGACGATACCCTGCCACTCCCACCAATACCGCCGAAGTCTTCGTCTCGGTCTCTGAGCCACCCATGACACCGAGACCCTCCACTCTCGAGAGTGTCGCCGACATTCCCAATGTATTACTTGTCAACACCCGTCGTTACAAATCTGCACCACGACTGGCATGCGACTCATTTCTCTGCTGAGTACTGTCCCAGCTTTCATCCGACGCATCCGACCTCGCCTCTTGTCTCGTCCAATCCTTCTAGAACTTGCAGGCCGAAGAATTTATCACGTACAAAGTCGATGACGTCCCACCCGCAAGTGCCTGCCGAGAATGGGTTGACCTGTGGGAACCCTCAGGGCTCGACAATCGATCTGTATGGTCGGTTCGCCCATCAAATGATCCGCCCTGCATGCCGCTCCCGCACACTTTACTGAAGGGGATTATTATTGTCCCACCTGAAAAACTGACCAAATGCTTGTCTGCCACATTCCCTGATTCGTAGAGCCATGCCGAAGGATCTGGTCTCTATAGGCTGTGGTCTCTCAATTCTCAACTGGCTGCCAGGGCAGCTGCCATCGAGACTTGCAGTTTCCATCAATCAAGACGAAGTTAGTGCCGAGTCTTGTGTGACCCCCACTGAAGGGCCAGAGGGCTGGGGCCTGGGGCTGGCCTTACCCCGCCAAAATGGACCTTGTGCACGAAGTATCTCAGTAAATTTCGTCAAATGTTTGCGCCTTGCTGCTCGACACAACTACACCTCATTGATCCCTCAAGCTTCAACAGCCTGCTTAGCTCACAGTGATCCGAGCCTTTCTAGATAACATCACAGCTTAATCTCCGATGCAGACTGCAAAATAACTTTGGATCCCTCCACGCAATCCCTTACAATGGCGACTGGCACCCCGGAGCCGACCGCTCCAACGACTTTCCCCCTGCCCAAACCCCTCCAATACCCCGCGTCAACCCCACCAACCCTGATCACCCAAGGCGCCGAAGGCCGACTCTACAAGACGACATACCTCGTCCCTTCCCTCCCCTGCGCTCTCAAATACCGACTCCCAAAACCATACCGCCATCCGCTCCTCGACCAGCGCCTCACGCGCCACCGCATCATCTCCGAGGCCCGAATCCTCGTCAAGTGTCGCCGCGAAGGCATCGCCGTGCCCGCCGTCTACGCCATCGACGAGAAGTCGGGATGTCTATCGGTCGAATGGATAGAAGGCGACCCAGTCCGCGCGGCGCTGAATACATATCTGCTACAGAACCTCGAGGCCGATGCTAGCGTCGATGCGCACGTCAAGGATCTCATGAGGAGGGTGGGCCGCGCGGTGGGGAGGTTGCACCAGATCGGGGTTGTTCATGGGGATCTAACGACGAGTAACATGATGCTACGAGAAGAAAAGGCCGCGGAAGCGACGGGCAAGGGGATATTGGATGGCGAGATCGTGTTGATTGACTTTGGACTCGCGAGTCAGAGCTTCCAGGACGAGGACCGCGCCGTGGACTTGTACGTTCTTGAAAGGGCGTTCGGGAGCACACATCCACGGGCTGAGGTCTTGTTCGATGAGCTTCTAGAAGGATACAAGGAGACGTTTAAGCAAGCAAATGTATCCATAAAGAAGCTCGAGGAGGTTAGGCTTCGAGGAAGGAAGCGAAGCATGATTGGTTAAGATACCCCAGGGGATTCAAACTTCTATTTACATGTATCCCTGCGTTTGTGAACTCGAGGTTGAAAGACGGCAAGAGAAAGAGAGGGACAAAAGATGAGACTTGATGATCGAGTTTCATTTCCCAATAATAATCGCGCTCTGCGCGCGGATATGCAAACCATGCACGCATGTAAGTAAGAGACAGAAGAAAGAAAAAGGGATCCATGGATGCATTCCCTTCATAACAGCCGCCCAGTGTAGAATGACCAATGCAAAACCCAACGTATCTCGAGACGCACAAAATGCCACTGCGTCCTCGTTCAACCTAAGGAACAAGTCCCTTAGAAGAGAAAGGGAGCAGAGAAAATCGGAGAAAACAAAGAAAAGCAAGAGAGAGAAAAAAAGAAGCGACAAAAACATGAGAACGCGAAACATGGCAACGTGACAACATGACCAAACTCCGAATCACCCATCTATAATTTCAGCACCAGCAAAGTAACCCTTGTTCTCAATTACACCCCTGTTCTTAACAAAAGCCGTGTACTTCACGACCCATTGAGGTATGATATCGCCTTGCAGGCCGGCGATGCCCTCATCCACGTCGGCCAGGACAGAAGCGCCCTGAGGGCCGCGGCCCAAAAGTTCTCTCAACGTTCCACTTGGAAGGATGTTGGTGCAGTCCGTGTGCACATAGAGCTCGATGTTCTCCTCCATGGCGAGCTTCGTAAGGAGCGGGGGCACCTTGCAGCAGTCGCGGATGTTGATCTGATCGACGACGGGTCGAACCGAAACCCGTTTTAGGAAGTTTGTAAGCTTTTCCGAGCCGAACTCGGCTATTCCGAGGCCCCTGATGATGCCTTCTCTGTAGAGTTCCTCGAGGATAGCCCACGTAGCGACCTCCTCGTCGAGATTGCCCTGGGTTGCGTTCTTCTTATCGGCCTCCCATTCGCAGTCTCCCTCGAACGACATGCCGGGGAACGACGCAATTAGGAGATCAATGGTCGTAATGCCGAGCTCCTTGTGTACCAGACTTAGAGCTTCCGTCACATACTGGGCGCGTTCGTGGACGGGAGCATCAGGCAGGAAGAAAAGCTTAAGAGTGATATCATATTGGCTCCTCTCCTCGTGCAACCCCGCAACGGACCAGCTTATGCGGGGGACATAGAGGACTGGACCGTCGCGTTCTGTCCAGGCCTCGACCGCGGGTCGTCGGCGCGCGGGAGAGGAATGCGCGTCATTCGACGCACCGTTTGCGCCATTCGTGTTACCGTTCCTACGGTCCGGCGCCTCGGCGTAATCCTGCTGTGCAGCAAGGAAGTTGCTTCTTAAGGAATTGGTGAGTTCGAGATTGGATCTGAAGGTGCCAGGCTTCCGGATAATGGACGGCCCCCCCGAGACAATGTTTCTATATAAATCACCAATCAGCGATCGTGTGCAGACGGAATTAAGAGGAACTCCAAGCAGGGGTTTATTTTTTTCTTTTTTCCCTGGCGCGACGACTTTCGCAAAGGTGACAAGATGGTGGGGTGTTAAAGCCACAGGTGGGGGGAGCATATACCCTGTAGACAGGATCAACTTCGTCATTGTTGATGTGATCCGCGAAAGACACCTTCTTATGGGAGGGGGGAAATGGATGAAGCTGGGGATCTTTCGGATACGTCCTTGCGATTCGAGCGCCTGAGGTTTCAAGGAGACAAGAGGGGGATTCTTTTTTTCAGTCGTCGGGATTTGAAAATGGCAGGCGCGCAGAACAGGAACCTAGAAGAAGCGCAACATAATTAATAATATCCTCAAAAATATGTCATCAACCCGGACAATAGTTCTCGACCGTTGTAACCCCGGACATCAAGTGGACATACCTCTCAGATTCAAGCAACAGGGTGCGACAACGATGTAAACTCTCGGAGTCGAAGTAAAACGCCGGCACAGGTGAACTATCAAGGTCTCGGGACTTAAACGAGAAGGGGGGTTTAGAAAACAATTAAAAGGTCGAAATCGCCGGAGGGAAAAAAAGGTAGTGAAAATGGACAGTAGCGCTGTCTTACCCACCCCGCCGACGCGTTGTGGGGGTCCCTCGAGGGGCAAATCGGACGGGATAGCTCGTCGTTTTCAAGAGCCGAAGATTAAATTTGAGTTCCCTACACGCGATAGTGTGCTTCGCAGTTTTCGGCAGTAGTGTAGTTGTGGAGGGGAGTCCAGGTCAAGTTTTAGACTATGATCTTAGCTTCCTGTGCTCTTTCTCCAACCGACCAAAACTAATCGAAGCCTTGCCAAACCTCAGGTCAACCTTGATGGATTCAAATTGATTACATAGAGCTAAAGTAAGGAAGCCAGGGCCCAAGAGAACGTGCCACTCTTAGAATGCATGGTTATCCTAACTCCGACGCATGGAAAGCGGCGATGCGCGGCGTGAGGATGAGACGAGGACGGGTGGGAGGAGACCTGGGATTCTGGAACCGCGGTGCTGGATTGATAGGACAGGTGTAGACACCTGGCTTTCCTCTGGTTGAGCTGGCCATATTAATTCCAAGCTTTTGATCATCACATTACTCACGGACTTCACACTTTGACCTATCCCCCACTTGGAGAGGAGGACTTTTCAACCCCAACCCAGAACAGCCAAGTTGATACCCACCCAACCCTGACTGCATACCACAATGGCGATTCAGTAAGGATATTCTTCTCAAATATCTGTGTCTACTTCGATCCGGTCTGACCGTGGATGATAGCTACTTGATTCTTCTCTCGAGACAGGGCAAAGTCGTACGTGTCCCAAATAGCTGCCCCCCCTTTCATCCGCCTCCCTACCCTCCTAAGGAGCATCAACCTAGGCTCCAGTGATCCGTTACTAATCTTGAGGACCATTGCAGCGCCTTGCAAAATGGTTTACCACATTATCACCCAAGGAGAAGGCCAAGATTGTCAAGGATGTATCGCAACTCGTGCTGGCTAGGCGGACGCGGATGTGTAATTTCCTCGAATACAAAGGTGCGTGGCTCGTTGGCGATGCGTGCTCCTCCCAACCCGCCTTCCCTTCTCCCCTCTCTCTCCTGTCCGATCACTCTATCTCGAGCCTTATCCTCTAACAGAAGGCTGCCGGAACAGATACCAAGATCGTCTATCGTCGATATGCATCCCTCTTCTTCATCGCCGGCTGCTCGTCAGAAGATAACGAACTCATCACACTCGAGATTATCCACCGATACGTAGAGCAGATGGACAAGTACTACGGAAACGTATGCGAACTCGACATCATCTTTTCCTTCACCAAGGCGTACTACATTCTAGACGAGCTCCTGCTCGCGGGCGAGCTACAGGAGAGCAGCAAGAAGAATGTGCTCCGGTGCATATCACAACAGGACTCTTTAGAAGATATGGAGGTATGTTTCTGTGATTGAGGGCTCGAATGCTCTCTACATCACGCCGCTTCTTATTATTTTCACCCCTTCTTTTCCCCCTGTAGGAGTACAGGGCTTGTGGATGGTCCCCCACTATTTTCTTTGTCACAACTCTCCTCTTCCTCCTCTCCCCTGGCGAGTACCTCGTGCCACATTCCTCCCCCTAGAGGGCATCGCGGTCGGGCCCGAGGGAAGAACATTCCTTTTCGAGACTGACAATTGATATGATCCGTTCAGGTCGAGGATGAGGTCACCAAGATCATGTAATACCCGGGTTGTTTCTCTGAGCCTCGCCTCAGCCAACTTGTTTCACAAAAAAAAGGAGCGCCCGCTATTGCTGTTTCTTGAGTCACATCGGAGCTTGATGGTGGATCCTCTGGCCTGCCATAGTCCCTACGCGCCATATGCGGTTGATGATCGTTGTTGGCTAATGAACTCCGTTCCTTTTCTGCTTGGGTTCCAACAAACACAGGCGTCGAAAGAAGTTGAGCGCGCACTGAAAGATGCCGGCATGCTATAACACCAAGCCAACGGAAAGAAATAGAAATGACGTAATGAATATGGCGAAGCTAGGACAGCGCAGAAACCATCGATACCCAATGACCATCGGAATTCGGATTTTTAGGAGCGTTATCAAGTTTACGAAGGAAAGCACTACACCACAACGGATCGACCAACGGGCTCACCATACATATGGCCTGCAGTTGCGGATAGGGCAGTCTCGGATTGTCTTCTTCGGGGCGGGGAGACGGTGGGAGGAGAATGATAAGTCAGAAAGACTTGGGTGGAGGGGGAGAACAACCCAACATGGACAAGCATAATTGGCGGGGGGGCTTGTGTACTTGTATAGTTCTTGGAGGATAGATAAACTATCCTCGACTTCTCTTTTTCCTTCCAAGACAAGACAGTCAACAAAGATAAGGACGAGGCCCTATGTGGGATGGATTGGGGGCGGCTGGCTAGCTATAGCTCACGGCTGGCTCTACTTGCGTATGAGCTATAGCTGTTGCTGTCCCTGGAAATCCCCCACACCTCGTCCTAATATTTCCTTTACCCAATCGTGGTCCTGATCAACTAGTGTTTGATCGATTGAGTGTTCCATCAATGAAATTGGCGAGACATTACGCGTGATGGTGCGGACCGCGGAGATCGAAGTATGAACGGACCCTATTCCGGTCACTATGCTTCCGAACAACGCAGGATGCCTCAATCGCCGCGAGATAGCAGTGAGGATGAGCTTCACCAACACCTTCTTACACGTGTGGCTTTGTGGGCCGTTTTATTCGTCTAGTGGGATGCTGACATTTCCACCCCCTTTCGATCTGGCGAAGGATCAATTGACGGAAGTGGAAGTCGACGAGGAACATGACGCGGAGGCGGATGCCGAAGGGACCGTGGCACCACATTGACACATTGACTGGACCAGGACGGTGTGGGGATGCATTAGACCCAAGTTCAATTGTCCAAGATCGAGTTACGACATTGAAAGTCAAATACGGAGGAAGCCGCGGAGTGTCGGCAAGTCCGCACTGTACCTTGTACCCCGTACCCCGTACCTTGTCCTTCCTCCCCCACCCGATTCGACCCTGCAAGTCACAGTTTCTCAACGCTAACGACCGAGATCAGGTGCTATATTCAGGAGGGTGTGTGGCCTATTCTACTGGACCAGAATTAACGCAGATGCTTCGCGCTCTGTGTTGCATCATTGCATGTCGCTGTTGACATCGATCATTGATCAATTGATCAATGGTTTTGTTGCCGGCGTTTGAGTGATTCGACTCTTTTCGCTGACTTACAGGGCGCCGGCTGGCAGCTAATTACGCAGGCACCTCCGTCGCCAATTCCTAAGTCCAAACATTTTCTGCTTCAAGGTATTTATGTACATGTACTGTGTGCTGCACATATTACCAGTTGAAAAGGAGGTTCTGGGTACTTGTCTGCCCCTCCTTAACTATGGTACCGATCTACTGATCAGCTGTTATCAGTGGCAGCTCAACTCCACTGAACACGAGCAAAGGCACTGTGGGCTTTGAGGTACACTACTTACCTTGATTGCGCTCTGATTGAACCTTCATGGTTATGTACTCCATACAGTGCGTCGGTGGTCATACTGCCGATGATGGGCTCCGATATGTTGTGTCAACACAGCATCTCACTCAAGTTGCTTTGTGTGTCTATCTATCTTTAGTGAAGCACAAAAGCCAGCAAGATCAATGGTTGATCTCTAGCTCTATCAGTTGCTAACACGACCAGCTACCCTTTTACCCATTTGCTTTTCCCCTCTTCTTCGTTCTCTCAGACTTCAACCCAACCCTCAAACCTCCACGACGATCTCACCACTCAGCTGGCTTCAACCAGGTCGGAGCTGGCCATTCTCACCTGTCACTAATCGCCTGAGAATCCATTGGCGTTTCACACACCCGGACTGCTGGGGCTCTCATTTGATCGCTGCCGCCCAGCGCATCCCGACTTGCTCCGCCAAGCATTGCTATCGATATATATCTTCGCTGACCCGCAACTCGCCCGTTCCTTTCCCCATCTGCATCTCCTCTGCATAGCATGAAGTTCCGCCGAAACAACGTCATCTTCTGACAACGCGCGGTCAACGTAAACCTCATCAATCTCTCAACCGGAAACGGTTCTTTGGCCGGATCATCATAAACATCGCTTATCTCGCATCACGACGGAAAGGCGATAGTTTTACTTCAATTCCCAAATCACCCAACTTCACCGACCATTTGTTCGAACCCGATTCTTCGGACACCTCTCAGTCTGCGAGCGAGAGACACAATTCGATTTCCCCGCTCGTTTCGCCCTCCTTTGTCCTCTCCCCTCCTGTAGTCAATTCCACTTAATGCCTCCGGTCGGGCGTCGAAAACAGAACATCCGACACGATGAAGGTATGCGCGAACACCCGCTTCATTATTCCCGCCTCACCGCGCCCGTGTATTTTCGGTCCCTTTTTCCCGGTGCTGAAAATGCCTGGGCTTCTCCAAAGTTTGAAGTGAATCCATAGCGCTCAACAGCTCCTTTTAGTACCTCCCAGTTCCAGCCTTCGACTCTGTTACGAGTGCGCTCAATTTCAACACGCCGGACTGCAACGTTACCGGCGGTTGCGATCTCTACACGACGAAATCGACCGGCTCGGATAAGAAGTTATACAAGAATATCAACGATGACCTTGACTCTCAACATGCCGAACTCTTAAGACTTGGCGCAAGCCTCTCCCCTCCCCAAAAGGCCGCCTGGATGGCCACCTCGCCGAGCCTCTTTTCGCAACCGAGCGCCTTCGGACCCCTCTCTGAACTAGCGAACCGACGAACTTTTGCCTATCTCATCGCGACGCTGAATGCATCCCACCCACACTACGACTTTTCCAACGTTCTGCGACCGGGCGACTTCAAGCGCGAGCGCAGCCTGAGGCGTATCATGGCTAACCTCGATTCGATACTCCAAAATGTACGCGGTTGCGGAGACACCCGCAAAAGCACCGCCGCTGCCAACGCGCCGACCTCGATATGGAGCCAGCATTGCTGGTCGCTCATCGACAAGGAGATGCGCCTTGACGAGTGTACCATTTTCAACTACGAGCCCGACGTCGACCCTTTCGAAGATGACGAGAGTGCCATCTGGTCGGTGCACTATTTCTTCTTCAACCGAACTCTTAAGCGCGTCGCATATCTATATCTTCGCGTCGTCCCGGTCATTAGCTCGCAAAGCCCGATGCTTAACCCCACCGCTATGGGAAAGCGAGGCGCAAGAGCCATGGACCCTGGCGCGACGAAACGCGCGAATTATTGGCTTAGTGCGCAAGACGCCGCCGTCGCCGAGACGTATGACGACGAGGAAGAAGAGGACGATGGTTTCTTCTGGAATCGGAGAGAAGACGGCGATCTCGTACAGTTTTCGGAAGACGATTACATTGAAGATGACGACTACGACCTCGAAGATGATGATATGGATTTGGACCACTACAGTCCCCAAGCCCGCGGCATGAGCGAGGATATCGCGGGAAGGATGGAGCTCTAAATTCCCCATCCTCATCGCCGCCATCTTGTACATGTCGACTAAGGATATCTCTTACCGGCTATAACGGGCTCCTTTTTTTCTCCATTTCTTTGAGTTTTGATCTGTCTCGCCCTTCAATCTCGTTCGTCCTCCCCCTAGGTCTACACTTTTATGGCCTGGGATGTTCTTGTTTTTAATTATCTCTGAACCTTGCGAGATCAAGGCCTTGTTTTCTGTGGTGTTGCAGTGTTGAAACGGAGGAAGTGGACAGCAAACGGGTTTGCACTCTGTCATGCCGAGACTGCTTCATTTCCCCTCCTCTGCTGTCTTTTCCTATTTCCAACTTTCGGTCAAGGCTCGTTCTTTGCACGAGCTCACGGTACGAGAGTTATTTCAATAGTTGTTACTGCCTTTGTCACTTCTTTTTCCTTGACTTCTTTTTCCTGTTTACTTTTCATTATGTCTATTACTGGCCCCTGGTATTTGATATCTGTCAGTTTAGCAGCAGAGAGGCGTTTGGTGGAAGAAAGTAGGGATACGGCCACGAGGATCGATTGATGCCGGGTTGGGTGTAGGAAAGGTTGGGATCGGACGGGATGTACGGATTACAGATCAATGACGGGAACATTTGGACGGATTGGGCACGGGGGCCATGCCCTATGCTTTTGTTTTTGCTACGTTCTGGTTTCCTATTGTTGAAATGATATTAGTTTCAATGCCAATGAAGTATGACGACCTTTTTTGTATCCCCGTCGTGTCTATTCCTCGACTTTGCATGATCCCGGCCAACGCATACTTTGTAGGGTCAAGTTCGGCCTTGGGCCTTCATACATGACGCGTCGGTTGATGACGATGCTCTCTTTCATGCGCCCTGCGAACTGACAACGCACACGAAGACCGACACTCCGTCCATCGGAGATACCTCACATCTAGGACATCGAATGCCGAAAACCCCATACCCTCGAGATTCGTTGTGTTGGGTAACATATCCCTCGCGATCCAAACCCTCTAGCCGAGGGCTGTTTTTTTTTCCCTTTTTTTTTTTTTTTTTTTTTTTTTTCACATATACCCTTTTTGCTCCTTAAACCCTTGCTTCTTTTTTGTTGCCCCTTCGTTCCCCAGGTTGAAACATATCCACGCTTTCCCTCCTCGCGATTTTTTTTCCCCCGGTAAGATATAAAAAGATCCCTTCTCCTGCCCATGACTGGCCTTCATGGCGCATGGCAAGTAGAAATATACCCCCAAAATATTAGAAATCGAAAAAAAAAAAAAAAAAAAAAAAAAAGGGGAAAAAAAAAAAAAAAAAAAAAAGGGAGTCATCGCATGAGAGACAGACGACGTAAATAAGGGAAATAAAATGAAGCGGGTTGAGGGAGAAATCAATGAGACGTGCAAAAAGGTAGGTGATGGTAGCTGTGCGATTCGAACGCACGACTCTTTCGAGACCAGAGATTCGAAGAGGTACCAAGCCCTGAGCGAACAGTTTAGCGAGGTATTTTCTTAAATCTGGCGCCTTAACCCCTCGGCCAAGCTACCTTGGTTGTACGTAAGCAAACCGCACCTTATTTTGACATATACTTGTACCCTGGCCATAATTGCACTTAGATCTGATCAACACTCCCAACAGCTCGTCTCGACCATCATTACCACCGAGAGAAAACACTCTTTGGAGAAGAAAACTCCTGGGCGCACCGACTTTTGTGTTATCCACAGTTTCTGAGAACCAACCGTGAGGGATAAATCATCCGGGAGAGAAGCATGATGTTTGCAAAGTAAGAAGGGAAAAAAAAAAGATATATATATATATATATATATATATATAAATCAAAATAAAAAGTTAGGACAAGATTCAACTTAGAGACGGGCGCTGCGTCTCTCAGTGTGAAATTGACGTAATATATCTATATACTGATATTGATTGGTGTCAGCTTGGAAGAGAGCAATCTCCCCGAGGCTCCCATGGTTCACTATGCCTTTGCGGCTACTGTACAAACAAAAACACAGGATATCTCTTCACAAAAGATGAGAGAATCTGGTCTAACAAAGGAGTATCAAAGAAGAAGAAACATAATATAGTATAAATATGAAAAAAGAGGAAAAATTCCCCGAGAGGTATGGACGGAGTGAAACCTATTAATCAACGAATATAAACCCCCAAGACTCCATTTTGACCCCGTTCTGTACTCCTAGATTTTCCCAAGCAGTAATCGATTATAAAAAGCTTCCTCATGCGCATGGAAGAGGACCAAAGATAAAACGCCGGCGCCGGACTCGATGCGAGAGAGAGATTAATGACGCAAAATCCAAGAAAGAAAAAAAGAAAACGCCAATCTTCGCCGTCGCTATCTTTCCCTCATGATGATCCGCTTCGATATTAAGGGGACGGGACACCAACTGTCCGTCCCTGCCGTAATCCTCCAACTCTTTTTACTCCCGGTTCATCACATTAGGATTATGCCATCGTCATCATCGGCTAATGGAACTTGGCGGCGTTTCCGTGCTGTCCGTAGTCGTGTCCTCGACAACTTCAAACCCGTCTTTCTCGCCGCCGAGGTTACCGTTAACAACTGGCGGTGACGACAATCCGCCCAACATGACAGAGCTCCCTGCCGTCGTCTCCCCAGGCGTCGTCGCTGCCGACTCGGGCTCTTCGGGGATGGTAGAAAACTTTTTCAGCACCTGCTTGAGTGCCGGTCTCCGGATGGGCTTGCTGAGGAACTCGTCCATGCCGGATTCAATGCATTCCCTGACATTGCTCTCCTCCGAGAAGGCCGTGAGGGCCACGATCGGTGACTTGTAGCCTATCTGGCGAATCTTTCTCGTACTCTGCAGCCCATCCAGGTTTGGCATCTGCACGTCCATGAAGATAACATCAAAGGGCCGATCGTCCGCCATCGCATCTTTCACCCTGTCAAATGCCTCTTGGCCGTCCTTGGCAATCGTCACGTCGTAGATATCCTCGAGTTTCAGCATCCTGCTCACGACTTCGATATTAGTCGAGTTGTCGTCCGCCACGAGCACCCTGAGCTTCCCCCCTCCGAATTTTGTCTTACGCGCCAGCGCCGTCTCAACCCGCGCCATCTTGGCTTCCGTCGTCTGAGGCGGTGGTGGAGGCGACGGGGTCGGCGTGGATGTGAAGAACGGCTGTCGTAATCCAACTAGTCTTGGCTGCGTATCGAGCACAGGCGTTGACTTGCCTTCCCCGTTCGTTTTGGCGACCGAGTTGCACGCTGGTTCCGTTTCGATCCCGTCAATACTGGCAGAGCAGGATTTGATGCTGCTGGACGCTGTACTCGACGACCTATCCCTCACAAACTTTAAGGGGATTCTCATCGTGAAAGTAGACCCAACTCCGATAGTGCTCGTTAGCGTAATGTTGCCACCCATGATTGTCGCGAGCTGTTGACAGATGCTCAGCCCGAGGCCGGTACCGCCAAATTTTTTGCTGAGGCCAGGGTCGCCTTGCATAAAAGGCTCGAACACGCGCTGTTGCATCTCTGGCTGGATGCCCGGACCAGAGTCTTCTACCTCGAATTCGAACAGGTACGACTTGGCGTTGGCCGGGGGAGGCGTGGGCGACCGGCCTCGAATATACACCTGCGAGGACTGCTTCGGTTCCATTGGGTTGATGGAGAGAGCAGTGCCTTTCATCTGCTCAGGGGTTACGTATCCGCCCTGTCCCTGCCCCTGCCCCTGTCCGCGCGAGCTCGCTGAACGAGTCGACGTAGATCCTATCCTGCTGCGGCCCCTACCAGAGTTCTTAGACGTGGATGACGACCGGCTTGCTCCATGGCCGCCCGGCCCTGAGGGGATTTCTTCCACATCACCCAGGCACTTAATTCGGACCTGAACCTTGCCTCCCTTCGGCGTGAACTTTAGACTGTTGCTAACAAGATTGATCAAGACCTGCAGGATACGGTGCTGGTCACCCCATAGACACATGTCCTTCAGCTTGCCCGTTCCCTGGGGACCGATGGCGGGCAATTTTGGTTCCGTGCCTGCGTTTTCCAAATCGATACTGTCGGTGCTGAGGAAGTTGACCGAAAAGTTGACGTTGCCCTCGCGGACTTGCTTGTCGAAAATGATCAGTATCTGCGAGCGGATATCGGCGAGTTTGAACTCTCTCTGTTCAAGACTCAATTGCTGGCCGATTTGGTTCTTGGAAAAGCTGAGAAGATCTTCCAGCAGGTGCAATAAGAGGTCGCCTAGGCGGGAGATTTGCATTAGTATTGTATGTATGCATCATAATGGAGCAAATGATAGCAAAAAAAAAGGGTATTTGTTGGGAGCCCGGGCAAATGAGACAAGAGAAGAAGGGGGGAAAAAATACATAAGAAAGGAGAGTCTCAGCTTACCTGACTTATAGAGGGTCCTCAGCGACTGCTTAATCTTGCCGAGATCATCTTCTTCCATGCAAACGGCACACATGCCCAAGATTCCGTTTAATGGAGTCTTCAGCTCGTGAGAAATGTTTGCAATGAAGAGCGTCTTACTCTCGTTCGCCGCCTCGGCTGCCTTCTTGCTAACCTCGAGCTCCCGTGTCCGCGCCGCCACTTTTTCATCCAGCAGGGTGTATTGTTTCAAAAGCTCATCGCTCATGTCATTGAAGGTGGTTGTCAGCTCCGTCAGCTCGTCAGTAATGAAGTGCTTCCGGTCCACAACCTTGCCGGGAATCTTGAAAACGCGTCGTGAAGAATCGAGGGAATCCTCGGGCTTTTTCTTTGAGGGCGGCGTAGGCTTGTAGCCCATCCAGGTCAGCATCTTCCAGAACCAGCCCTTAATAGAGCCCTGGGAACTCTGGGAGTGCTGGCCGGACCCAGGTGTCTCGCCATTACCGCCTCCATAACTAGGAGAAAAGTAGTCGTCATCGTATCCTGGGGGGGATACCGTCTTCTCCGTCGCAGCCTTGAGCCTCCGGATCGGCATGACACCGATATGCGCACAGGGATAAGTGAGAGCGAAAATGACGCCAGCAGTTCCGAAGACACAGCCTAAGAGAATCTTGCGCAAAGTCATAATAGGGCCATATGCCTCCTTCCTCGTCTGCTCGACCAGGATCGTCCAGTTGGCAAGAGTGCTGTTGGTGCGGGCGAATCCGACAGCAACGCTCGCGTGTTCTTCATTCGTCGTCGAGAGCATGGCGCTGGCATTGTTGACGGAGACGATGCGTTCAGTCCATGAGCGCAAAGCGGCGGGGTAGTCCTTGAGAGGGAAATTTGATTCACTGGTGCGCTTCGCATAGGTCCTGGTGGGATGGCGATCCTCTTGATCAGGTAAGCTGGAGGCGGGCAGAAGATAGTGGACAAGGACATTCTTGAAAAGGTTCTTGTCGCCGATGGCGTCTGGGTCTGCCTGCGGCATATCTGCCTGCGCCACCGTCTGGTTGAAGCGGTTCGCGGGCTCGTCGGGGCCGACTAAAAGAACTATGCCAGTAGTCCCTAGGCCTTCACGCGACTGAACGATATTGACAAGAGTAACAGCCGAGGCGACTATAGTGAGAAAGCCGATGGGAAAGGAGAGTTGGTTGTTATCTCGGATGGGGAGAGTGAGGGACATGAGGGCAAAGGATTCGTTGACGGATAGGGGCCCGAGAAGCAAGCCAGAGGGTTGAGTCAGGTCCACAGACCCGAAGGCAAAGGCGTCGAATTCGGTAAGGTTATTGCTCGGGTTCGTCGTGTTGAGGTTCACGTAGGTGATATTGGGATAGAGCTGAGGTGGGAAGCCGAAGATACTATCGTCACCTAGATAAACAGGCCCGCCGCTGGGATTCCCGAAGGGGAGCTCGATGCTAGGGCTGTTAATGCCAGTCACGTTTACAATGCCCCCCTCGTCACCGGAGCCATCTCGAGTGTAAATCTTGGCCTGCAACAGATTCGTCTGCGATCTGGCGCTAAGAGCAATGGCAAGATCTTCCCTGGCCTGGGACCAATCTGTGCGGGTGCCGTTGCTCCATTCCTTCAAACCAGCCTGGATGAGGAGACGGGAAGCAATCGTGCGACAATTGGAGCGGACGAGATCAAGCTCGGAGGTGATTCTGGAGGCCTTGAGGGAGGCGGTTAGGGAGAGGGCATCTTTCCTAACTTCGATGACGAAACGATGGACGAAAAACCATGTTGGGAGGGCAACGACACCGAGAGCGACGAGGACGGTTAAGGTGACAAGAAGCACAAGCTGTTCGCGAATGGCGATGCGCATTTTTTCCTCTTCTTATTCTTTGCCTCTCTGACTTTTTGAGGTTGCAGCAACAAGATACGAGGCCGGACGTTTCCCGCTATCTAATAAGCATCTTTCCCAATCGGGGCTGAGCAGCGGCGCAGATTATGAATGCCGTCGATTGCGCGGGTCGTCGGTTTGGTATTTCGGCGGTTCGTTCGAGGCTCACGTCGTCCTATATTCAGGTTCCTTCTCGCACCTACTTGGACAGGAATCGTTTTACTCGGCAGTGGAGAACAGGGGGATATTGGCGAAGTGCAACACTCCGTCTTGTTCCCGTTAATAATCGGACGACTAGGGAAAGATACTAAAGCGATCCTGCGTGGAGAGGGCGGAGAGGGAGCGAGATGAGAGATGGAGATGAAATTGTCCTTCGTGTCCTCTGGTGGACCTCGTCGGGGGTCGCTCTCGGTTCGGTTATTGCTGGATCGTAGATCGTGGAGAGGAAGGACGGGATGGGAACGAAAGGAAGCGAAACAAACAAAGGGAAACAAATAGAGACGAGGGTCAAAACCCACGGTTTAGGGAAAAAAAAAGGAAAGTCAAGCCTTGCCAGAACACCGTTTTGCATGCGGCAGGCGCGGGGGATTCGCCAATGGAAGCAACCTCAACGTCGAACCACTTCGAAGCTGTCAATTGTCTGGGGCAAGGTCGATCGAAGCTAGAGACCGGATATTTGGCAGTGGCCTCGCCGGCGCGGAGACAACTTGTAAGGAAAGGAATGAGCGGATATGAGAAAAGAGGAGTACACAAACATGGACGGCGAAGCGGCGAAGAGGAGTATGACCAGAGGACCAAGTATTATTGCTAGTACCACAGCTAGATTTGATCCGAGCAATATTATTATTACCAAGTACTGTACTTCGTAGTCCACGGAGCAAGACACTGGACACTGGATAATACGAATGGCACTAGCACTGGCAATGGCACGGCAGGCAAGCGCGTTTGTGGCTAGTGGGTTCTACTTCGAGTGTGCCCACTGCGCAACTTTGGGTTCAATTGTTGGGTCGGCTTTTTTCTTCTTTTCTTAAAAGTGGGCACGGGCGTTAATTTGTACCAGTACTTCATTGCCCACGACCTGGAGAAAGCTCGAGCTGAACCTGGGCCTTGCTTGAATCGTCAAGCACTTCCTCTCCATGACACTCCACGAAATACGAAATAGGGAGATGATCAATACGAAGAGATGTATTATCCCCCACCCACGCAGTATTGCACGAAGCCTGCTTCGTGGGTATGAAGTAGGAAAGTAGGAAGTAATACGACGTGGTGCACGACTTCACCAAGTTCAGACTAGGCAGGGTCCCCATGTGAAGAGCAATTTGAAAGCGGGAATAGACTCGTCGCTAGTACCTTTCCTGCCCTGATGGGGGATGGTCGGCGGGGAATTGCCTTCGCGAAAGGGGCACACTTCCAATGTTCCGTCTTTTGGGAGGAAGAAGACGAGTGGACTTCGTTGAGTTTACCTGGTGCGGAACACCGAGGAATAAATCTACGAAGGTACGAAGGTACACAGGCGCACCATCAATAATCAATCAAGGTACCCACTCTCAGCTCCCCATCATTAACTGGTACGAGGTATTGCCGTGTCGACGAAGTCGAAGTACACGTGTGCGTACCAAGCAGTGGAGTGGCAAAAGCGATCAATGGGAGTTTTACAACTAGCAGTCCAAAGTTCAAATGTAACGATACATCCATTAATGTCAAGCCATAGGAAGTACGAAGGATGTCCAAGTGGCTTCGGCTTTCCACGCCGCGTGGAGTTGACGCTGCCGCAAGCCGAGTGCTTCCCCATAGAGGACGACTGATCTGGAGCCACAAGTCCGTCTCTTCCCCGCCCGAATCATGCTCTCTGCACTCTCTGCAGCGTGCCTTGACAGGCTGACGTCCGCGTTTTGGTGCCGGGAAGGCGGAACGGAGGAAGGAGGCACGCAGATCGCAGCGACTTCTGAACTTTAATCATCCCTAGCGCACTCCCCTCCTCAACATGACTTGATGTCTGCCCGGACCCCCCCTGGCAAAGGGATCAATGCTTCGATATGCATCGGTGTATTCGCTTCATCACTCAGAGTTCCTGGCTTATTCCTTCGTGCCTCACTGCGCCTCTCCGCTCAATACTTGTACGCGACGCGCACGCACACACGCACCCACCTTCGTGTGCTCGCGGCTTCGCTACACCGACCTTACGAATACTTCGTGCTTCGCATTTGGTTCTTCCGATGCAGAGAAGCATTTTCGGAACAATGGGCGACTTCTCAATCCCCAACCGGCACACAGCCATCAACCAATGCCGGAAACGGCCAATCCCAGCCAGCTTAGCAGCGCCGTCGCCATGCTTGTCCCGGAGACTCGGTCAGAGGTGCTAAAAGATGTGACATGACGCTAACGGAGGATTTATTCGACACAAGATGGTAATCTATGGGTGATAATTGGATCAACCCGAAAATCCCAAATGGATGGTGCGTTATGGCCGAGTTTCCCGTTTCAAATTGTCAAAATGCCTTCGTTTTCTTCCCTTGGGCTCCCCCAGTTCTGATTCGTCGCCCGTTTCAATTGTTCTAGGGAATTGCACGCACACTCGGATCCGTTGATACCACGGGCCTGGTAAAACTTGCCTTTTCCCCCCGATTGCATGTCGCCGATCACAGGATCGTCCTGATCGACAGAAGCACTGGTCTCCGAGCCCGCAGCGGAAACTTTTTTTTTTCTTTTTTAATACTAGTAACGGGAAAAGCGGAAGAAGCGGAAAGGCCAAAAAAAAAAAAAAAAAAAAAAAAAAAAGGGAGAGAGAGAGCGAAAAGGAAGGTTGTGAAACCACAGTACCATCCTTCTCATCGCCACTATGATTTTCACAGTCTTAATGTCCATGCCAGGGTTCAAATGGACTCCAGGACCCTGCGAAGGAAAACGAAACATTGATGCAGCACTCAAGGTAGAAATCGCTTCAGTCAAGATCAAATGTTGTTTTGTGGATACTTCGTAGTCTCGACTAAAGAACCACGATGAACTGATGAAGAATAAGAACATCGAATTCTGAGTCTCGAACCCTGCAATTGTTCTGGGGGCGTGCTCTTTTTTTGGTGGAGCGTGGCTCCTCCATCTGTAACCTTAAGAGGCTCTTTTGCTGTTGAGCTTTTCAGGCACATCAACCCATTCACCAAAGTATAAAATGGTAATATCAAATAGCATCAAGATGAGGAGGGCAGCGGCGAAATCAAGCGGGGCTGCCAGACAAACGCCAAGGCTACAAGCGGAGCCCTCATCAACTTCGATGCTCTCGATATACTCACTTGCCTGCCTTCCATATCCACAGCATTTTGATGTCCTCTCTCGTCTGTCCCTCTTCACAACACGGTCTTCTTTGTTAACCTCGAATTTCAGAGGAAAGTTATAGACAGACCAAATCAAATAGCCAGCAACAAATGAAGACACTAGACGCCACAGAGCTACGACTGTTTCGTTCATAGTGAGCGGAGTGGCGCGTACATTTTAGCATTCATTATCCAATGGACCAGATATTGAGCTTCCTAGATCTCCGCTTGGACCCCGAGAATGTCTCGAACACCTGATCAAGCTGCTGTCTGGCGAGTAACATGATTTCTAGGTAAGAACGTCTCAAACTCCTGGAGTAGGTCGGCGTCATCCTTGAATATCTCCTTCATCCTCTCGTGGATGCGCGGAGCAGCTTCCGGTCCCGGTCTTCCTCCCTGTCCGTACCACTCCATAAAAACCTGCAAGAATTGCTCATAGAGCCCCGGCCGGTCCGAACCCGCTCGTGACTGTTGCGGAGAGTCTTCGTCAGCCTGGGCTGTCACTTACATTCTCTAAGATCTGGCGCACCTTGACTTTCCCAAGAAACTGAACAGCGTTCCCTTTGCCTGCCGGGCATTGTGGGGCAGCTTCGGGTTGTTTGGGGTCGTTTTCTTGAGTATTAGGATCCCTCTCCATTATCAACTGTGTGGGGTGCTCAGAGCGGATGGGAAGGGAAAAGAGGCTGGCAAACGCGCGAGGCTAGGGGACGAATCTCGTGGGGTGGCGATATCATATACGAATGAGGGAAAGGAGAAAAGAAGTTGACGTGTTCGCAGCTATTATATTTTCCAAGCCATATAAGATGTGAGGGGTACATCCTGATACCTTGGACAATCTCTCATCCATTTATCCCCTTTATGGATGGTTGGCAGCAGGTGCGCGCTGAGATTTATATTGGCTGTGTGCTACGCCACACTGATGCTGTCCTGTCCTACCTCTGGGCGTTAAGAGGAAGTCGGAAGCGGACACCCGGCGGGGAGCAGATGTGCCCCCTCGGAGAGAGTTCCCCGTTGCATGTCCCACAAGTCGCGACACTTTGCACGCTTAATATGGTGGCATCGCAGGCCTCGGGCGGATGTAGATCTCAATGGGGCCATCACGACAACGGAACCCAAACGGTTGTTTTGATGTTCGTTTCATATTTTTTTTTTCTGTTCGAGAAAGGGAATCATAGCTATAAGTCGTGGACGTCATCCAAGTCGAGTGTAAGATATTTTTTTCAGGGTTTTGTTCATTTTTTTTTTCTTTCCTTTTCCAACCCAAAGCCCAGCCTGCCGATGCATTCATCCCATCATCCTATCCCGAGAAATGCTACACGTTAAGTTTCCATCAACCCCCAAACTCCCCACAATGTCTCACCTCACAGCAGTGATCCCAGAGTGATACAAACGAAAATCACGTCAAGGTGAAGGTAAGGTGACAGAAGAAGAAGAGAAAAGGAAAAGGGTAATGAGTGAATGAAGAGAAGAAGTAAAAGATAATGATAGAAGAAAAGAAGAAAGAGAGAAAAAGAAAACAGCCGTCATAATCATCAGCATGGCTAAACATCATCATCGCCCATCATGTACACTTTCATTGACGTAGACATCCTCTCCCTTCAAGACGAGCTAAACATCAGCGGCACAAGAGCCGTCTGGCTATCAAGCGCTCTGTGATCTGACAACACCGATATC